TGTTGACCAGGATGGTCTCGATCTCATGACCTCGTGATCCACCCGCCTCGGCCTCCCAAAGTGCTGGGATTACAGGCGTGAGCCACCGCGCCCGGCCCAACTTATTATTATTATTTTTTTTAATTTGACTGTTGTCGTTGGGGCATAGAGATTTTACCTCTTTCTAATGAAAAATCTCAGATTTGGAATCAAATCTCAGTCCAAGACTCCATTCTTTTTATCTGGCAGGGGAGTCTATGAGGTATAGCAAAATGGCTTCCCTAGAATTTCCCCCTTCCAAATCCCCACTGCCTCCCTCAATTTTATTTTATTCTTTTTTATTTTTTATTTTTTTGAGACAGGGTCTCTGTCACCCAGGCTGGAGTGCAGTGGTGCAATCATAGCTCACTGCAGCCGTGAACTGTTGGCCTCAAGCCATCTGCCCATCTCAGCCTCCCAAGGACCTGGAGACCACACCACGCCTGGCTAGTATGTTTTTTTAATAGTAATGGGGTCCTGCAACGTTGCCCAGGTTGGTCTCAACTCCTGGGCTCAAGTGGTTGTCCCCTTCGGGCTCCCAAAGTGCTGGGCTTACAGGCAAGAGCCACCATGCCCAACCCCCAAAATAGTTTTTTTAAGTTTAAAATGTGAATACCTGAAGGCATTCAGGTCTGTCACACTGGAACCCAAGGAAGCACAATTTTCAGTTTCTGGTCAAATGATTGTCCCTTGTCTGGATGCATAGAACAGGTTTTGGATATTTCTGAAAGGATCCTGCTGTTTCTATAACCCCTGTCACCCTTAAGTGATAATCTTGTAGGTGCAAACAGCATTATCAAATAGTTATTTAGACTCATATAATACTGCGCCTGCCACCTGATAACAGCACCAGCTCCTCGATGGTTTTTCATAGCCACTCATTTTTTATCTTAGCAATGCTGGGTATTCCCACAGCCATAGTTTTACTAGTTCTCAAAAATTTCCCCCAGGCCGGGCGCGGTGGCTCACGCCTGTAATCCCAGCACTTTGGGAGGCCGAGGCGGGTGGATCACGAGGTCAAGAGATCAAGACCATCCTGGTCAACACGGTGAAACCCCGTCTCTACTAAAACTACAAAAAAAAAAATTAGCTGGGCATGGTGGCGCGTGCCTGTAATCCTAGCTACTCAGGAGGCTGAGGCAGGAGAATTGCCTGAACCCAGGAGGCGGAGGTTGCGGTGAGCCGAGATCGCACCATTGCACTCCAGTCTGGGTAATAGGAGCAAAACTCCGTCTCAAAAAAAAAAAAAAAAAAAATTTCCCCCAGAGTTCCTGATTCCAAATTTGAAGAACACTGGTTTAAGCCTGGCCAGGTTTCTTTGGAGCCCAAAGCATGCTGACCCATATTAAAACAGGCAGCTCCATTATTTGCAGAGTCATGAGAGAGACACATTAGAATGTGGTAGAGTTAGAGAACCGGTGGCGGAGGATGTAGGCTAACCAGAGCACCTCATTCCTTTCTTTCTTTAGAAGCTGTATGTCCACTTCCCTCAGACTATTCCTAAAGCCCTACACCTGTTTTTCTCACTATAGAATGACATTCAGGCTTCCCTTTCCTCTGTCTGAGGAATTCCATCACTGACCCTCTAACCTTCCAGCTGCTGTAGCAACAGCTGGGCAAACAAACACTGTTCTCATCAGTTGCAATGAAGACATTCCTTCCTTTCCCTAGAAGAAAACTCTTTGGCAGAGGAATGATCTGTCAAAACAGTATACCATCCTGTTCTGTGTTCTCCACTTACAGGAATTCTAGGGACAAAGCCAGGCAAACCCAAGACAGATACAGGATCTCTACTTGTTAGCAGGAAGTTTAATGAGTACCAGCAGTGGTAACATCTAATACATTATTTCATTTTTTTAAAGATGGGGTCTCATCCAGGCTAGTCTCAAACTCCTGGGCTCAAATGATCCTTCCACTTAAGCCTCCCAAGTAGTTGGGACAACCGGTGTGGGCCACTGCATCAGGCTTTTTTTTTTTTTTTTTTTACCTTTCCTAGTTTATTCTTTTCTTAGAATTTTTTTTCTTGAGACAGGGTCTCACTCTGTCACCCAGGCTGGAGTGCAGAGGCCTGATTATAGCTCATTATAACTTCAAACTTCTGGCCTCAAGCAGTCCTCCTGCCTCAGCCTCCGAAATAGCTGTGACTGCAGCTGCACCACCACCACACCCAGTTAATTTTTGTAGGGTTTTTGTTTTTTTTTTTCTAAGACAAGTTCTCACTCTGTTGCCCAGGCTGGAGTACAGTGGTGTGATCTCAGTTAACTGCAGCCTCAACCTACTAGGTTCAAGTGATTCTCGTTCCTCAGTCTTCCTCAGCTAAGATTATAGCCATGTACTCTGGCTAAGTTTTTATTTTTAGTAGAGACAAGGTTTTGCCATGTTGGCCAGGCTGGTCTCAAACTCCTGGCCTCAAGTGATCCACCTGCCTTGGCCTCCCAAAGGGCTAGGATTATAGGAGTGAGCCACCGTATATGGCCAGTTTTTGTAGAATGAGGGTCTTTGGGCCGGGCGCGGTGGCTCAAGCCTGTAATCCCAGCACTTTGGGAGGC